GACACGAGGACCTACGTTCTTCATCTGCAAAGATGACCTTATGGCTCATTTCTACACTCCCTTGGGAAGAGTTCTGGATCCTCAGCTACCTGCCCTGCCTGGTTATTTCCAAAAAGTGTCACCATCTGTGATGTACTCTAGGCCCAACAATCACAGCAACAATCTCCTCTACTTTACAAATGAGGAAACAGAGACACAGAGAGAGAACATGACTTGCCCAAGGTCACACAGTGAGTATTCAGTGGGGCTCAGACTCTAACTCAGAAGCAAAAGGAAGGGGTGACCTTGAGGTGGTCCTGGCCTGTGGGTCTACGTGTTTCCTGGAGAGAGAGGGGCCCTCAGGAAGGCAGGAGGGCCTGGTGCACCCGTCCTGGGCTCTGCTTCTGCCCCCGACCCTACCCTTCATGGTCAAGGCTAGGCCTGAGGACCTGTGGCCTCCACTAGAGTAGGACATGCACTCAGCGCACATCCAGAGCTTCCCGGAAAGACTGTACAGTGGCTGGTTTGGTAAAGATCATCCCATCCGGGGCGAGGCTCGGGAAGTTCCAGGGACTGCTGGTCTTCACCCTGCCTCCCAATCACCCAAGTGAAGCACCCTCCCCTTGGCCCTTGGAAGCCACACCTGGTGGCTCATCCCACACACACCCCAACCCTGCCGTAGCTGCCCAGAAAGAGACCTTCGGCCTGGGAAGGAGGGAACAGCAAAGGAGCTTTCCCCAGGGAACAAAGGCCAACTGGGGTCCCCTGGGTTAGAAGCCTGGGACCAGAGGCATCAGTGGTCCTCATGGGACCCTTAGTCCTCCATGTGCCCCCCCCCCCACACACACACACACTCCAGTATAGAGTCAGAGCTGAGGGAGGTGTCTGGGGCTGCCTGGAGGGGCTGGACAGGTCTGGGTATCCTGATCATAGAAAGGGACCGTCCCTGCATCAGAGTGACCACAACCCCAGAACTTAAAAAAATAGCAATGACACGCTAGCCCTGGTGTCAACACTTGCCTGGCACATTATAGTCTCACTGAATTCTGCCTCACTGAATTCTCACAACCATCCCATAAAGCAAATACTAAGTCTATTCTGCTTTACAGAGAAGGAAAGTGAGGCCCAGAGGATTGAGTGATTTCACCCAGGCAGTCTCTGCGTGGTTGGAATTCAAACTCCTGGCCGTGAGTCCATGCCTGAGGTTTGACCCTGGAGTCAGCCACACCTGCCTCTAACCAGGAGATCCTTGAGGGGTCCCTCAAGAATCCTGATATGTTTCCATATCAACCCCCTGTGGCAGATGGTATTTTCTAAAAACAACCATCACAAAATCTTCCACCTACATGCTCTTCCTACTATATGATGGTGACACTCCTCTGTGACCACAACAGAGGTGACATTATGTGACTCCCAAGGCGAGGGCCTGAAACAGAGGAGGGCCTGAAACAGTGGCTCCTGGTTGGAATACAGTGGTGAGAGCATGGCTCACCACAGCCTCAACCTCCCAAGCAATCCTCCCACCTCAGCCTCCTGAGTAACTGGGACTACAGGCATGTACCCACACCTGGCTAATTTTTTTTTTTTTGGTAGAGATGGTGAGGTCTCACTATAACACTCAGGCTAGTCTTGAACTCCTTCCCTCAAGTGATCTGTCTGCCTTGGCCTCCCAAAGTGCTGGGATTATAGGCAGGACCACACTCTGCCTAGATAACGCTTCTACTTGCTTCTCTTGAAATGCTCACTCCTGGAGCCCTGGGCCATGCCACCAGGAAGCCCAGACTACAAGGGATGGTCACAGGTAGGTGTTCCAGCTGAGAGATGAGGCTGCAGCTGACAGCTAGCACCTAGTGCCAGCCATATGTTCCAGAAAGCCTTCTAGACAATTTCAACCACCACCACGATCTGACTGCCAGTGCTGGGAAATGCTGCTCAAGACCTGCCCTCAATGAGCCCTGAGGACCCCCAGAAGTGTGAGGGATAAGTTTTAGGGGGATCTATGACGCAACATAAATAACTGGAACACTCTCCCTGAACCATCGCTCACACACCCCTAGCCCAGCCAGGTCCCTGAATAGCTGGTGCTCCTTCAACATGTCTTTCATTCACAAGCACACTGATGTGCCCGGACAACCCTGGGTATTGTGATGCGTTTGTCCAAACAGCCTGGACCGTGAAAATAAACACCCAGATGGCAGGTGCTGACACACAAACCCTGACATAGGTCTATTTCAGGACCTTCCAGCTTCCTGCTGTGCACAGTGAGGTCTTCACCTGGGTAGGGAGAGACTTAGTTTAACATTTTGCAATCTGGGGTGTGGAATGAGGATAAAGTGTGTAAAATCAACTGTGATGGATACTTGGCCTTAATCAACTGCCCTCAGGGCTCTCTGATCCCTGATCTTTTTTTTTTAAGTTAGCTTTATTGGGATATAATGCATACACCATGACATTTGTCCTTTTAAAGTGTGTAAGTCAATGATTTTGAGTATGTCTACAGTTGTGCAACCATCACTATAATCTAACTTCCTTTTTTGAGACAGGGTCTAGTTCTTTCACCCTGGCTGGAGTGCAGTGGCGAGGTCACAGCTCACCACAGCCTCAACCTCCTAAGCAATCCTCCCACCTCAGCCTCCTGAGTAACTGAGACTACAGGCGTGGGCCACCACACCTAATTTTTTTTTTTTTTCGTAGAGATGGTGGGGTCTCACTGTGTTACTCAGGCTGGTCTTGAACTCCTTGCCTCAAGTGATCTGGGCTCCCAAAGTGCTGGGATTACAGGCAGGACTGCACTCTGCCTAGAATCTAACTTTAGAACATTTTTTATCATCAGCCAAAGAAACCCTGTGCCAATAGCAATAACTCCTCATTCTCCACTCTCAGGCTGAGACAACCACAAATCTGCTTTGTCTCTCTGTGGATTTGTCTGCTCTGGACATTTCATCTAAATTGAGCCATACACTATTGGTCTTTTGAGACTGGCTTCTTTCACTAGGCATAATATTTTCCAAGTTTGTCCATATTGTAGCATGTATCAATACTTCATACCTTTCTTTCTTTCTTTTGAGACAAAATCTCCCTCTGTCACCCAGGCTGGAGTGCAGTGGCGCCATCTTGGCTCACTGCAACCTCCACCTCTTGGGCTCAAGCCATTCTCCTGCCTTCCAAGTAGCTGGGATGATGGGTGCTTGCCACCATGTCTGTCTACTTTTTGTATTTCTAGTAGAGACAGGGTTTTGCCATATTGGCCAGGCTGGTCTTGAACTCCTGATCTCAAGTGATCGCCCACCTTGGCCCCCAAAAGTGCTAGGATTACAGGTGTGAGCCACCATGACTGGCCAGTACTTCACACCTTTCTGCGGCTGAATAATATTCCGTGTGTGGATATACCACATTTTGTTTCTTCATTCATCAGTGGATGGACATTTGGGTGGTTTCCACTTTTTGGCTATTTTGAATCATGCTGCTACATACATTTGTGTACAAGCTTTGTGTGGCCCTATGTTTTCATTTCTCCTGGCTGGATAGCTAGGAGTGGGATTGCTGTGACCCCTGGCCTTAGCACTCTGCCCCCTTGGCTAGGGATCCAGCATCTTCCCCAACAGGCCCAACTAGCTCATCCTTCAAGTCCCTTCAAGGAAGCCTCGCTGACTCCCTCCGCTGAGTTGGGTCTTCTGTGCCATCCCATCTCCAACCTTTGCACATTTCATAATGGTGATATGATTGCCTGGGTCCTGGCCTTGGCCCCAGCAGGTGACCAACTTGAGAGAGACTTTGGTTCACCACTGTCCATCCCAAGGCCTGGCTCTCCTGCTGCTGGAAGGAGAAAAGACTGATTCTGGGACCAGAGCAATCAGGAAAGGCTTCCTGGAGGAAGTGGGGCTGGAGTTGAGTTGATAGGTTGGTTTGCCCCAGAGTTGGGCAGAGGACTTTGAGGGCTTCGGTGAAAGAAAGGTGTGGACAGCTTGGAGAAAGGAAGGATGGATGGACATCAAATAGGCAGAGAACAAAGCTCAGAGCCCCAGGGCTGTTTAGTCTCTTCTTCTCTAAGGCTGCAAAGTGCCAGTGACTCAGACGTGGAGGAAGGCTCCCCGGCTGCTGCAAGAGGCTCCCACATTAACCCTCACCTGCCTGGAATTGAAAAGCCACAATGGAAGCACTAGGCGTTAACCCTCAGCTGCCTAGTCCTTGAGTCCCAGGGCCAAGGGCTGTGCACATGGCCTTGAGACCCCCGAACAGCCCCGCCCCCCCACCCCAATCTGGTTACTTGAGGCTCAGCCTTCTGATGCCAGGTGGTGAACTTGCCCAGAGAGCACAAAATACCGCAGAGTGGCCAGCGGCTTGAGCGCCCCGCGACAGACAAGTGTCCTAAGAATTGGTGCCTCTTCTAGGGAAAAGGAGGCCTGGGCTCCAAGGCCTTAAAGACTCGCCTAATTTTCCGCATGGATGAGTAGCCCCAGGCCCCGTTCGGATCCGTCTTTATCTCACCGTTTGTCATAGAAATGTCATGTTTCCAATCTCTGGCGGCAAGAAAATGCCGAGCTCTTTTGCTATTGGAAAAAAAAAGGGGGGGAAGAAAACACTGCAGTCCCAATCCTGCCCAATACATCCCAGAACCCAGCCTTGGGTGTTGCCCCGAGGGCGCAGCGCCGCTCCCATCGGTGCTGGGGGTCCAGGAGGCTCTGGGGCCCCGCAGGCCCGGGCTGAGCCCTCCCCTCTGTTCCCGCGTCGTTGGCCCTGAGCGCATATCGCTCGGAACAAGGAGGTGCCAGAGGCTTGGGCGAAGCAGGCCTGGGGAGGGCGCGAAGCCGCGGCGTTGCGATCCTCAGCCACCTGAGTCCCAGCCTGGAACCCTCGGACCATAGGGTTCGGGCCCTCTAGGTGCCAGGCGCCTCGAGTGCCCGGGCGCTCCGGGCGCGGGCTGGGAGGGGCGGACAGCGGGCGGGACAGCGCCCCCGCTCCGCCCGTGGGAGAGCGCGCGCCCCTCCAGGAAGCGCCCGCCTCGCCTCCTGCTTCCCTCCCCACTCCCCCCTTCAGCCGGAGGGAGGAGCCCGAGCCGCCGCCGTTGCCGCCGCCCGCCCAGCCCAGGAGGAGGACCCTACCCGGAGCGGCTGGGAGCGCACGCGAGCGGGCCGTGGCCGCGAGGGCAGCGCCCTGAGCCCGTCCCGCGCCCTCGGGCCAGGCCGAGCAGAAGCAGCGCCCGGGCATGCCTGGGCGGCCCAGAGCGCGGGCAGCGGCAGCCGTGCGGTGAGGGCGGTGGCGTCCGCGGGACCCGCGGTGAGTGGGGCCCGGGCGGGCGGGGCAGTGCCCAAGTTCGGCTTTGGGGACGGGCTCCAGGCGCCAGCGGAGGGTCCCAAGGAAGCCGGGTTCCGCCCCCGGGGGCTGCGGCGCTCCAGTCCCCGTCGCCCGCGCGAACCCGGACTCCGGCGCTTCGGTGACTCAGCTCCGACCCAGCCACGCGGGGGCGCCCCGTCGACCCCCGGACTGCGGGGGTAGGGCGGCGGGGTCCCCGGGGAGGAGGGCGCCCTCCGAGGTCGGAGCCCAGCTGCTTTGGGGACCGTCCCACCCGCCCGGAGGTTCCTGGAGGGCGTCCGGGAGGCGGAGTCCCGGAGCTGTGGCAACTGCTGAAGGCGTGAGGTCGCCCTGGCTCTAGGCGGGTGCGGGCCCCTCTCCGCACCCCTCTGCACTCCTTTCATCCCTCACTACCCACCCCTTGCCCCAGGCAGCTGCCAGAGGGCCAGCTCCCAGCCCCGGAACGGGGATCGCAGAGGGGGAGTGGAGCTGGGCAGCTTCCCAGAAGTCGGAGAGTGTTTGCAAACTAGTTTTTGTGAAAAAGCTGTCTGGCACCTGTGTGTTTTAAGGGGGTGGTGGGGGGGCATGGAGAGAGCGAGCGAGAAAGGCCCTCTTTTATTCCCGGTTTCCCGCAGCGATGCTCCTCTGAAAATAGAGGGGTCTTACTCCCCTCTTCCCTGCTCTTTCCACCCCATCCCCCAGCCTTGCCCCCTTTCGTCCCCCAGTTGGAGAAGCTCTCCTATGAGGAAGGGGCTGCTTAAAGGGGGCTGTGGTTTGCCCAAGTTCACAGATGTTGCTGGCTCCGGCGGCCAATAGGGGGTTCATCTTGCATCTGAATCCCCTGCCCCATATGTACTGGGGGAAGGGACAAGGGGTCTGGGAGAATGAGCTGAGCCGCCCTTTGTTTTATCTACCCTTAGTTTTTGCTCCCTTAGGGGTGTGTGCTGTCATCAAAGGAGGGGGGCTCTTTCTGCCCCTTGGGCATGCACAGCTTCAGAGACTGTGGGGAGCCCATGGTTTTCTGGAAACAGGCAGTGAGCGCAGATTTTAATCCCTGGCAGCTCCAGCCTGCCTGTGGACAGCCTTGATGGAGAGGCCTGGGAGACCTGGGTCTGAACCCCACCTATGACCAGCAGGGAACTTGGCCCAGACCCTCTACCCCTTGGGTCATCATCTGTGAAATGGGCTACTGTTCCAGGGCCTGCCTCCTGGAGAATGGGAAAGAGCATGAAGGCACGGTTTTATGGCATTCCTCCTGGCATAGGTCCCGGTGAGCTCTAGGACCGCCCCAGGTAGGTGACAGCCAGCTGGATTGGGAGGGGTCATCCAGGCAGATTCCTCCATGGAAAGAACCGGGAGGAAGGGTGACGTGGACGCTTGGGTTCTTCTCTCGGCTGTCATTTCCTATCTGCGTGCCTAGTCACCCCTTGGACTTGGGGTTTTTTTCTGTCTGTAAAATGAGGCAAAGTGTGACATGACCCAGCTTACAGGGCAGCTGGGAGGCTGGAACTGGGGTGTGGGGAGCAGATGTTTTGCAAGTAGGGAGCACTTCATGAGTGGCAAGTGTTGTGTCTCTGGTGGTGTTCCAAGGGACACTCCCTCCCCTGGAATGTCATGAGAATTGAAAAGTGGGGCATAAGGGAAGAAGAGGGCCAAGAATGGAACCTCAGTTTCTAGCAGTAAGGACAGTACCCCATCTGGTCCTCCTCCCAGCCCTCAGTTTCTGTATCTATGCACCTTTATATTCTTTTCAGGTAACTGTGTATTTCTGTAAAGGTAGGATTAAATTAGATTGCGAGGACTCAGGTGCCAGCACTTACTGGTACGTAGTAAGTGCCTGGTGACTCTTAGCTGTCAGTGCCAGGGGAATATTAGGAAGCCTGATGTGAGTGACTGCCTCCAGGTTTCCTTCTGGGATTGTCTCAGAAATCCTGTCAGGATTTCTGGGCTGTTCTAGGGGCAGGGGCCTGGGGTGAATGAAAGAAGACCAGGAGAGGTGGTAGGTCTGATCCAGGTGCCCCATATCTGCCCCCTCTGGCTGGCCTCCCAGGGCTCTAAGGAGTGAAGAGAAAACAAAAGAGCATTCTCTAGTAATTTCCCCCCTCCTGTCAGAGCAGGAGGCATCATTGCCAGGCAGGGTCCCCATCTGAGAAGCCCTCAGCTCAGGGTCAGGGTGCCTCCAGCCTGACGGAGGTCTCTGTCCCTCTCCCTTCTGCTGACCCTTATACACAGACGGTACTGGGGCTCCTGAGTCAGGAGCAAAACACCTCAAGGACCCAGCTCCTACACCCTTGCAGAATATGGCCTCAGAGAGTGGAGGTGGGATCTCCCCCAGGCCATGCTGGACACGGTTTGGGCTCTGTGGGAGCCAGGAGGCGAGGTCACCCTGTGATCTTAGCAGGCAGCTGCTAGAAAAGTCCACAATCACATGTCTCCCTACCTCCCTTTACAGAAGGGAGGATGTGAGGGTCCCATAGTGCCTGAGGACTGAGCTCAGGTTAGAGGCATCTCCTGCTCCTGCCCAGTGCCTTCTGCCCTCACTGGGCTGCCTGGCCTCAGTTCCCACTTTTGTGGGAGAGTCAAGAAGACTGCTGTTCCATGTCCTGGGACATTTCTTTTTATTTAGTTTTTTATTTCTTTTAAGGCAGGATCTTGCTCTGTTGCAGAGTATACTGGCAGGATCTCGGCTCCCTGCAATCTCCATCTCCTAGGTTCAGGTGATTCTTGTGCCTCAGCCTCCCAAGTAACTGGGAACAAAGGCACACACCCAGCTAATTTTTGTATTTCTAGTAGAGATGGGGTTTTGCTCTGTTGGTCAGGCTGGTCTTGAACTCCTGACCTCAGGTGATCCACCCATCTTGGTCTCCCAAAGTGCTGGGATTACAGGCGTCAGCCACTGTGCCCGCCCATAGAACATTTCTTTACTTGTCCTGGCCACACCTGCTCTGAGGTCTGTGATGAGACTGTAGTGAGCTTGTGTCACCATCCCTCCTCACTGCTGCATCTCCTGGTTGTATTTTTCTTGGGGCATTTGCCACTCTTAAAAAATCATCTTCTTTACTCATTGGTGCACCAGCTTATCTGCCTTCCTCCCCAAAGGGTGTCAGATCCACAAAAAGTCAAGATCAAACTGTTCATCTTGCTTAGGGCCAGGTTCCTGCACTTAGAACAGTGCCTAGCACATAGTAGGTGCTCAGTAAATCCTTGTGTGAGGAAAGGCTGCACCTGCCCCTCCTTGTAGCCTCCTGTTAGAATGAGTCTGTGATGCTGAGTGATGGATACAGGAGAATTATAAGCTTGCCCTCTTGAGTCTCCGGAGGGATCTCTGTCTCACCATGCTGAGTGCTGAGGAGAGCATGGCCCTGCTGACAGCTAGATTTCAAACTTGTAGCCTACAGAGCTATGACAGAATCTAAGCCATCCAGTGTGTGCTGCTCAGCTAGCCTGTGGCAAACCAGAGTTTGAAACCTGGAAGCTCACCTCCCAGCATTCACCGTGCTCTTACGATACACTTTTCTCAGGTTGGGGCACCAGGGGTGTGTCTCTGAAAGACTGATGGGAGGGCCCGGCATGGTGGCTCACACCTGTAATCCAAGCACTTTGGGAGGCCAGGGTAGGCAGACCACTTGAACCCAGGAGTTCAAGACCAGCCTGGGCAACATGGCAAAAACCCATCTTTACAAAAAATAAAAAATAAACAAAATTAGCTGGGTGTGGTGGTGCATGCCTGTAGTCCCAGCTACTTGAGAGGCTGAGGTGGGAGGCTTGCTTGAGCTCAGGAGTTCGAGGCTGCAGTGAGCCCTGACTGTGCCACTGTACCCCAACCTGGGTGACACAGTGAGATGAGACCCTGTCCCAAAAATTAAAAAAAAAAGACTGTTGGGGCCCAACCAGGGCAGAGAGGGGTTAATTAGAAGAGTAGTCTTCTGGGAGCTGGGCATACTCCTTCCTGTGTCCTGGAGAGGGGACAGCCAGGGCACATTGGGCAGGTCATATACCCTCAGCTCCTGACGAGACAAAAGCCTGGAGGGAGACAACTTAGTTGCAGGGAGAATGGGGTCCTGAACTGCTAGGCATGTCCCCACCACAGGGCCTTTGCACATGCTGGGAAACAGGTGAGGAAACAGCACGTGCAAAGGCCCTGTGGTTCAGGAACCCATTCATTCATTTATTGAAAAATATTCACTGAGAGTCCAGGCGAGGTGGCTCATGCCTTTAATCCCAGCACTTTAGGAGGCTGAGGTGGGTGGATCACTAGGTCAGGAGTTTGAGACAGCCATGGCCAACATAGTGTAACCCTGTCTGTACTAAAAATACAAAAACTAGCTGGGTGTGATGGTGGGCACCTGTAATGCCAGCTACTCAGGAGGCTGAGGCAGGAGAATCGCTTGAACCTGGGAGGTGGAGGTTGCACTGAGCTGAGACCGCACCACTGCACTCCAGCCTGGGCGACAGAGTGAGATTTCATCTCAAAAAGAGAAAAGTTTACTGAATACCTGCTGGGCACCAGCTATGGCTGGGATAAAGCCACGAATGAGAGAGACCAATGCCTTGCTCTCCTGGGGCTTCTGGTCTATTAACATCCCAGCTCAAATGCGGCCTCCTCTGCCTCACCCCATCACAATCACTTCACCTTGTTTTATTCCCTTTATGGCATTTTCCACTCTCTGAGATTTCCTGCCTTTGTCATTTGCTCACCTCGCTGTCCCCTTAGCTCCATCCCGAACTCCCATGCCCAGAAATTGAGTGTGTCTTGATCATGGCTGCACCTCCAGAACGTAGCAAAGTCCCTGGTCCAGAGGAGCTGCTTAAGAAACAAACATCTGTTGAATGACCACATGGAAGGCTGCGTGGTGAGGGAAGCCTTCCTGGAAGGTGGAGACCCAGAGTCACAGGTGAAAGAGGAATGACATCTGTGCACAAGCCTCTTCAGTTTACAAGCCTTTCACTGCTACCTTAAGAGCATAAAGAAGAAAGCAGTGGTG